TTTACACTCCCAGCTCCCGCTAATTAAGTATAGCATGTTAAGCCTGTACATCAGAGCCAGTATGTTTACTTTGCCTAGTCATTCATTAAAGCTACAAGAGCGTGTGTGTGTGTGCGTGTGTGTGTGAGGTAGTGTGTGTAACGTCACTTCACTTGACAGGTCCATACATAAGGGAGAGCTTTTAATGAATGTTTGTCATCTTAGCGAGATACATTTGTTTTGCTTGAATTCCCTAATTGACGTACTGTATATGAAGAGAAAATGTCAAACAAGCAATTGATTTAAAGGTGCATTGTGTAACTTTTCTGGTGGAGGGTTGTTATTGCTCTGCCTGGTATGTTCCAAAGTATGAAATTAAACAGTTTTACTTTACATTTATTCAACTACAGATGGTTTTGTAGCTCAAAAATACCTAGAAAAACAGACATTCTAATCCATGTATTATGCCTTCATTTGTTTTTTCAAAATAAAATAAAAATTAAAAAAAAACAAAAAATAAAAAATTTTCTTCATTATTTGTCTCCAAAACCAAAATGAAAAAACATATAACAACCAGGACTACACCAGGATTAAACCAGGTCTAAACCAGGATTTTGGACTTGAGAGAGAGAGACTAGTCTGAGTAGGATCAGTTGACAGCTGCACTGAGCCCCGTGGGGTGCAAGGCTCTGCACTGGTCTTTTTGCCCGCGATCACCCAACGGTCTACACGGGCGCACCTCTGGGCCCATCCCGACACTCTGTCCTGGTTCAGTTCTGGTTCAGTCCTAGTTTAGTCCTGTTTTAGTCTTGTTTTAGTCCTGGTTCAGTCCTGGTTTTGTCCTGGTTCAGTTCTGGTTTAGTCCTGGTTCAGTCCTGGTTTAGTCCTGGTTTAGTCCTGGTTCAGTCCTGGTTTTGTCCTGGTTCAGTTCTGATTTAGTCCTGGTTCAGTCCTGGTTTAGTCCTGGTTTAGTCCTGGTTTAGTCCTGGTTCAGTCCTGGTTTAGTCCTGGTTCAGTCCTGGTTTAGTCCTGGTTTAGTCCTGGTTTAGTCCTGGTTCAGTCCTGGTTTAGTCCTGGTTCAGTCCTGGTTTAGTCCTGGTTCAGTCCTGGTTTAGTCTTGTTTTAGTCCTGGTTTAGTCCTGGTTCAGTCCTGGTTCAGTCCTGGTTTAGTCCTGGTTTCAGTCCTGGTTTAGTCCTGGTTTAGTCCTGGTTTAGTCCTGGTTTAGTCCTGGTTCAGTCCTGGTTCAGTCCTGGTTCAGTCCTGGTTTAGTCCTGGTTAGTCCTGGTTTAGTCCTGGTTTAGTCCTGGTTTAGTCCTGGTTCAGTCCTGGTTCAGTCCTGGTTTAGTCCTGGTTCAGTCCTGGTTCAGTCCATATGCTGCGCAAAAGTTCAGCATCAAAAGTCTGGCATCACGGTTTAAGCTAAAACAGCCATTATCCATTTTTTCCATTATTCATTCACACAATCGAAAACTGAAAAAAACAAATCGTTATCCGATTTTTTTCCATTTTGGTTTTGGAGACAAATAATGAAGAAAATCGTTGTTTTTTTCATTTTCTCATTTTTGGTTTTATTTTGAAAAACATATGTATGCATGATACACGGATTCATTCTGATTGTGAGCAACGTCGCCTCTCCACAGATCTGACCTGTAACTTGGTCTGGTTTAGTCCTCATGAAGATAGAAAGATTTAATGCCATACTGTGAAACATTCCAGACAAAGTAATAACATTTCCAGGAAAAAAAAAACTTTTGAGAGACCCTTCACCAGAAAAGTTTAAAGAGGCAGTGTGTAATTTTTTCTGGTTAGGCTGGTTGGTGCTGCCATGCTTGTCTCCATGGAGATGATATTGCTTTGGCTGGAATGTTCCATGGTACAACATTAAGCATATCCATACTCATTACAAGTGTTTCTATTCTTTAAAAATACAATAACTCCTTATTGAATAGGGGCGACTCTCCACAGATCTGAATTGTAATGTAGAAATGTTATGTTATATATGTTATGTAACTTTTCTGGTTGTTCTTAACTGCGTTGATAAGAATGTTCCACAGTATGGCCTTAAAATGATCTATTCTCATTGTTTCCCAAAGACTGGGTCGTGATCCTCAGGTGGGTCACACGAGATTTTTTTGGGGTCGTCTTGTCACAATCTGCATGACGTTCTGCAGTATCCACTTCTGACACATGAGAGGGTGGACCTGTCCTCAGTAGGGCCAGTATTTCTATGCTCTTTTTCTTTTCCTTTCATTACTACATATTTGTGTGAATTGTGATTTTCTGTGCTCACAAAAATGAAGACAAAGCACAGAAACAGACTGAATGCTGCTCCTGATCTGAAACACGCTACAAAAACACAGGTCCACCTATCTCATTAGAAATGCTGAAATGTTAAGGCATATTTTGTATAATTTCTAATCTTTTTGTAATTATTTTATTGACTATTTTGTTCCAGTATTGTTGGTTCAGTACGGATTCCATTTATTGCTGCTTCAATGACTGTTTTTCATTGTTTCAAACTTGAGTAATACTATAGTAATAATATAGTTCAGAGACACGATCACTCAGTCAACAATAAAATATCTTCATTAATGCTCAATAACACTCAAATCCACCTTTATTTTGTGATTTACAAATAATGTCTATTGACTTGGGTCACAAAGGTTTGCGACTTTTAAAATATGGGTCTCCAGAAAAAAAGTTTGGGAAACACTGGTTTATATCCATAGAAACGAGCAGGTGACGCCACAAGGCCAAAGCACAGGTCAGATCTGTGGACAGGTGACCACACTCACAGAAATAATGTTGGTATCTACAGGTTCCAGAATGATGTAAACTTAGCACCGCTCCCATAGCAACTAACAATTCACAACAAAAAATGATATCTTGTAAGTTAGATAATGCCTTTACATAGGAAGCATTATACACAGCACATAGCCCACAAGAAAAGTTACACAATTGACCTTTAAATTCACTTCATCTTAGTCTTGTTTAGCAGTAATAGTACAGACTTTGAGGTACTTTTGTCTTGTCTCTGTTAATGGAAATGGCTCAGTCAGCCACATCCTTAAAATAAGGCTCTTAACAAATGAGCGAACAAACAATCAGAGGAGTTACACGAGACTGAGCTCTGATGGAAAACAAAGGAGACGAGGAGAGGAGCTGACGCAGAAGGGAAAGAAGGATTAACAGAAGAGTGAATGTTTAGATCAAGAACTTAAACCTTTTTATTGAGTCAATATCGTTTGAGTTCTGAATAAAATATTAAACTGTTTTGACTAGTTTCAAGTTTTCTTTTACAGATGTAGACCATAGAACATGACTTCTTGTAGTGTTGTAGTCAAGACCGCACTAATCGAGACCAAAACCAGTCCGAGACCACAGGGTCCCGAGACCAGGACAAGACCAAGACCAATGAGGGTCAAGGCCGAGACAAGACCAAGACCACGACCCATCGAGACCAAATCGAGACCATCTCTGTCATTTTCTACATTTATCTGTATTCTAGAGTTACATATATATCAATACTTTTATAAATCTAACTCCATTTGATCTGATTAATCTTCATTTAGGCCTAAAATAAGCCAAGCAAACTGTACTGCACTGAAACACTCTGTGCACCTGTTTTGGACCCTCACCCACAGTTTGAGAACCTCTTCTTCACTTCCACTGGCACTTTACACAAAACTGTGAACAAAGTGAAGAAAGTGGGTGGGATTTTTAAACCTGTTTTGTCAAGTTTCTTACTGGAGTTACATTCTCTTACAGATTTACCAGCCTCTGCACATTCATCAAACCAAACACACGTCATGACAAATACAGATGCATTTGTGCACTTTTATTAGTCAAACTTCAACCACGTGTGGCTGTAATGAAATGTGATCACACTCGTCGAGTGTCAGACCTTGAGCCCAAGACAAGACCGAGTCCAAACGTGGTCAAGTCCGAGACAAGAACAAGACAGTAAAAAAAAGGTCTCAAGGCCGGTCTGGAAACCAAGACCGATCTCGAGTACTATGACAAGATATATGATATTTCAGTGATTTTTTTTTTTTTTTTCAAGCTAATATCAATAACACAGTTGTTTTAAGTCCAAAACGTCATTTAAAATGCAAGATTCTGTGAAATAACTAATCATTTTAATAACTTTGTAGTTTATAAAATTTCATTTTCAACAGATGTTAAATAAAATGGTCTTGTGGGCGCAGCATGTAGCTGATCATTTCTGAGCTTTTCAACTTTTAATATAATTTGTTTTTGGTCAGTCAGAAAAATAAATGGGAAATTAATTCCGGAACTGAGGGGTGGGTGGTCACTATTGAGCTCCATTTAAGCTATAGCTGTATGGAGCTATTATAGTACCTATAAAAAGAATTATTTAGCATTAAAGGTGCACTGTGTAACTTTTATGTTGCTTTGCCTGGTATGTTCCACAGTGGCCACTATGGATGAAAGTCCGAAGGCAGGACAGGAGCTGGACCGTCTGGATTGCATCAGAAGTGCGACCCAATGAGCACGCACTGAACGACCCCAATTATTTTTAAGAAGGATAAACGTTTACATGATCGAGGAAAAAATGCATTTGGCTTTAAAATTGGAATAAACCACCCATTTACTTCGGAAGTTTAATTTTAAATAATATCTTCAATAGGAATTAAGTGTTTACGTGGTCTTTTTAAAGCAGAATACATTTTTATTCAGAATGAAAGCTCTCATGTAAACGTGGCAAGTGTGACATTAAGCATATTTACTGTATTTCCATAGTAACAACAAAGTAACACTGCCAGACCAAGTTATATGTAAGATCTGTGGAGATGTTACCCATTTGCCATTGAACCTATAGCAATAAAAACACCTGTAATTGTATTAAATGTAAGATTTAAGCTTAATGTCATACGGAACATTCAAGGCAAAGCAATATCATCTCCATGGAGACAAACAAGTGGCAAACCCTCCGCCACAAAAGTTACACAGCGCACCTTTAAGTGTTATGTATTGTGTGTTCTGTGTTATGTCTTACTCTTCCAGATGGGAGGTTGCAGTTTTCCAGCGCAGTTTCCACTCTTTTGCGATCTGCCGTGAACATCCGGAAGATACTGCAAAGAAAAAACAGATTTTTTAGTTTCCCCGTCTCAACTATTCTACCAAAACCAATACATTTAACTCACTTTGAAGGAGATTTGTTTCACTTAGACACCATATGGCTTTGTAAAATTACACCCCAATGATCAAAGCGGTAACAGCATGGTATTATGAAAAAGATGGGAAAGACGGTGTAAACCCAACAAAAGAAAAATACAATACAAGATTCTGATTTAACCATTTTCTGATACCACCTGCCACTTTAATCCCATTTCAAATAAAAGCTTTGTTGACTATAATCACGACAGACTTAATGAAGAAGACATCCAAGATTCATTTGTTGATGAGAATTCGTGGAAAGAAAAAAAAAAGAAAAGTTTTTTGGTAGATAGGTTATTAGCTTGATTCATCAGCAGGTTTCACTTTGTGGAAACCGCCTGACCTCACAGCATTAGAATTCGCTTGATGGTGGGCGGGTATTTTTTTATTTATTTAACCAATCGCTGCTATTTGGTTGTGATTTATGTAATGCGCCAAATATACAGGATTTACGTGTTAAACATGAATGAAATAAACACAACTCCAGGTCTGTTTGTGATGAGGGAACAACATAATAACAGATCAGAAAACAGCGTCATATGGGACATTTAATCTGGTGTGAGCAGGTTAAGTAAGAACAGAGCGGTGTGCAAACTATAGCTAAAAATATCAGATCAACAAATTCTATGTACCGTATTTTTTGGACTATAAGCCACTCCGGAGTATAAGACGCACCAGCCAAAAAATGTGTAATCAAGAAGAAAAAAACATATATAAGGCTACATTCAGACTGCAGCCTGAAGTGACCCAAATCCGATTTTTTGGCCTCTACAGTATGTGACCTGTATCTGATCTTTTAATGACAGTCTGAATGACACAGATCCGATTCTTTCAAATGCGACCCAGGACACTTGGATATGTGCTCCTAAAACACATATCTGATCTTTTGACATGCGACTTCAGTCTGAACGGCCAAAGTGCATTCATCCACCTACACGTTATCAACAAGCCACAAACGTCACTATTCTGCGCTGAAGTTGGCGAAAATTGTGAACGAACTCCGTGTCACTGAAGCGAAACACATCATCACTCACCACTCTTGGACTACGTCTCCACATCCACACGTTCCTTTCAACGGACGTCGCTGCTGCTGCCGCTGCCCCACAAAACACCACGACCAAAAACCTCGTCCTTCTCCTTCTCAATCTCCTCCTTAAAACAAGTAAGTTGTTCATGTTCTGGCTCCGGTACGAGAGGAACTTTAAAATCTCCAGGTGCTCAACGCTCACGTCCATGTTTGGACAACTTCTGTAAACACAGAGCACGCTCACTGCGGTTGACGTTCGCTGTGTCCTCCAGTGCACATGCGGGACACTTTTGGGACGTTTAAAGTTCACTCTGGAGATCACATGTGATCGACCTCGCAAAAACATCAGATTTCACAAAAAAAATCAGAATTGAGCATTAAGCCCTGCAGTCTGAACGTAGCCTTAGTCGCACTGGACTAGAAGTCACTCTTTTTGGGTGAAATTTATTTTATAACATCAGAGACCAGGAACCGACATTTAATCTTCAAAGTCAAATTACAGAAATAAAAATAGAAGAGAGAACAACAGCCTGTTCATGTCACATATGAACAGTTCTTCAGATAATTACAGCATAAACAACAGAAAAGAACAAGTTTACCAAACTCTCCATCTCACTCCACATCACTAAATCCATTGAATTTTTCATCCTCTGTGTCACTTCTGAGCAACTCGGCGACGTCCGAAGGTATTAGTATTTTCTGGGCTATTAGGTGACGCTCTTAAGCCTCTAACCCCATCAAAAAACAAAAGCACAGTTCCAGTTAGAATTATTCCAGCCTTTCTGAATTCCGACAGGATGGTTTCGGTGTCACTGAAGTCCAGACTTTGTCATCCATCTAGTGACTTCCAGGAAAGCTTCATGGTGCATCCTCCCGGTGTCACAAGTTTCTCACTCACTCCAAACTTTCTTTCTGCTGCTCGATTACTGTTTTCAGCTGCAGATTTCATGACTTGCTTTCTGCAGAAGACATGTGCAGAAAACTGACACATGAGCCTAGAGCTTCTCGTGGCTATCAGTGTGAAAAATGTAATAAATAAGTCACACCAGAGTATAAGTCGCAAGAAACACCCAAACCATGTAAGAAAAAGACGGTATTTAATTTCTCTACATTTTTGCAAATATATATGTTATAATTTACCCATCATGCATCAGTACAGTATATAGCAGTCAGACAAAGACGTGTGCATGTGCCTCTGCTCTTCGTATCAAATAATAAAAGTAATTTATTGAACCATTAGAAAAGCAGAGCGGGCTGTCCTGCAGTGTTTAGCCTTGTCTGTGTCTCTAGTGTAGCAGGTTTAATCACATAGACATTTTCCACAGTATACAGTGAACTCATCGGGGGAGCGGGGGCCATGCTGACATTACTCAAACTGACATGTCTGCACTGCCGGAGGTTAATTCCCTAAACGGTATGAAGCTGCCCGGAGTGTCTTGCTCGTTGACACCCACTGGTTTCGCTCGGGGAGGTTATCGGCCGAGTTCAACGCCGCCGCCGCCGCTGCTGTTGTCTCAAAGCTCTAGATTAATGCGAGAGGCAGAAGCAACGTGCAAAGCTGTGTACAGACTATACACGTATAGACTGTGTTGTATGGAGATCGTGGGGCAGAAAATATACTGTCTGTTTCTATGGAGATGTCATTGCTCTGCTTGAAATGTTCCACAGTATGACTTTAAACAGCTCTACCTTACATTTATTCAATTACAGGTGGTTTTACAGATCAAAAATACCTAGAAAAACAGACATTCTGACTGTGAGCGGGTCGCCTCTCCACAGATCTGACCTGTAACTTGGTCTAGTTTGGTCTCCATGAGGATAGAAAGGTTTAATGCCATACTGTGAAATATTCCAGACAAAGCAATAACATCTCCATGGAGAAAAGAATCTGACGGACCCTCCACCAGAAAGAAAAAGATTTAAAAAAGGCACATTTAAGTTTAAATGACTTGAAATCATATGTTTATCTTGGTTCTAGCTTTGAATTAAATGACCTTGACTGGCAGTTGCTTTATCAAAAACTTCCAAAACATACCTGGGGTTATGTTTTGTTTCATTCATGAATCAGATACTAATCAATACTAAAACTAATATTGAAATCAGATACTTATTCGAGAAAGTATCAATACTAAAAAAAAGTCACATTCATAGGACAGAAATGAACCTTTCCTGAATGTCTTTAGAATGATCTTGAGCTGTCAGAACAAATATAAGACCACATGAGAAAGAAATTATTAATAATAAATTATTATTTGATTTGATTTGATTTGATTTGATTTAATTTAAGGTTCTACCAACTGCTTGTCTCCATGGAGATATTATTAAACATATATTTTGAGCATTTATTTGTCATGTGTGTTTCTGTTTCTCAAAAATACAATAATTTCTTCTGTGAATAGGGTCGACTCTCCACAGATCTGAACAGTAATGTAGCGTAATGCTGTAACCTGCTTCTGTCCCTCGTGATAAATAGGTTTAATTTATACTGCGGAACATTCAAAGCCGTAACATTTCCACTAAGACAAGCAGGTGGCGGACTCTCCACGAGAAACAGTGCACTTTTAAGTTTGGCCCTACTTCTTTTTCTTACTACAGCAAAAAAATAAATAAATAAAAAAATCTATTGGACAATTCATTTACAGATAAAGTTTAAGTTTTTTTTTACAGATAAAGTTTAAGTTTATTTTACAGATAAAGTTTTCATTTACAGATAAAGTTTTCATTTACAGATAAAGTTGCTGAAAATATGTAAGAACAAATTAACCACCTTAAACCACAGAAAACTCCAGGAACTGGTTTAAACAAAGCCACTTTCACTCTGGTTTTCAGCTCTAACAAAAGACACGTTTATTTGTTTGGAACTTTCACTTGTTGTTTCAAAGCAACAAAAAGCAAAATAATAATTTGTTGACTGTTTTTGTGCATGAAGTTTCTGAAAACATGTCAGAACAAATATTCACTTTTCCCACTAAGAATTTCGAGGAAAACCTGTCCAGAAACGTCTCGTTAGCCCGAGTTTGCTCCGTAGCCCCGACATGAGTAACCCGCTATTTCTGCCATCAAAGTCCACCCACGTCTCTGGGAATACGTCACACACACACACGCACGCATGCACGCACACACGCACACACACACACACACACACACACACGAACACACACACACACACACACACACACACACGCGAACACAGAGGGCGAGTGGAAGAATGAGCAGAAAACAATACATGTTGTTTTAATGTGCTGAGAGAGAGAAAGAGAGAGAGAAGAGGGAGACAGGCAGAAGGAAGAGAAGGAGGAGAGGCAAACAGAGAGAGAGAAAGAAAGAGGGAGAGAGACAGATAAAGAAGGGGAGAGAGAGAGAGAGAGAGAGGGAGAGAGAGACAGACAAAGAGCGAGGGAGAGAGAGAGAGAAAGAGGGATAGAGTGTGTACACATGCACATCAATAACCCGGTTATGATCGGGTTTTTGAGTATCCCGGTTTCTTCATGGTGCATGTATATGCAGTATCCCGGTTATTAGAAACTGGGTTACTGTAGCTGGTTTATTCCAATAGTAACCGGGATACTGTGGCATGTATACACAGTATCCCGGTTACTGCAACATAAAGTTGAGTGCGCATGCATCCAAAAGACACTTTCCAGTCTTTTCATCACAACAGTAGCGACATAAATAAAGTGACCGCACGAGTGAAATGACTGTAAAATTAAGAGCTGCGCTAAACCTGCACACGTACAATCTGCACACGTACAATCTGCACACGTACAATCTGCACACGTACAATCTGCACACGTACAATCTGCACTCGTATAACGTGCACTCGTGTGATCTCTGAAAAGCTAAAACATGAACTATCTCCTATACTGTCTACGCACAGAACAGACTCACCATCATTAGCACCTCTTCTGTCACAAAAAGAACACACATAATCCAGAGTCGTGTCATTTAGTCCAAAAGAAACTGATCACATCAAATGTGATCAGAGCTGAATTCTATTACCAAACAGGCTGATGTGGCTCTATAGTGTTTATGGTTTATATGTTGTAAAGTTGAGTTTATTTATGCAGAAGATTTTAATGAAGAATCTGTTGGTTTGATGTGTGCAGTGGATTGTGGGAGATCTCGTAGCTCCTTAGCTTCTTATGCTAAAGGAGCTCACGGTTTGTATTTTTCCTGGTTTATGAAATTGATTTAAGTTCATTTTTGCGCTTGCGCATTTGTAAGATTATGTCAAGAAACCGGGATACCCCATTTGATCATGTATAGTTTTAGGTTTTTTTTTTAGTTTTATTGATTTAAAAAGGACAATGCATATTCATGAACATACACTTGTGAATACGCCAGAATTAGCCCAAAGGCGACTTTTCATCTGTAGTCCCTGGCAGGTCAGAGAGATAGAGACATAAAACATAAGAACATAAAACGCGTCACAATAGACAAACACACAAGCATGACACACAACACTGACATTTACATAGGAGCAGAACATTAGAGGTTACAGATCTGGTTACTCTTAAGTCATCGCTTCAGATTAGTTTTAAATGAACTGAATGTGGTGGAGTCTCTTCTAGCGGCTGGATGTTGTTCCAGATTTCTGTTCCTTGACTGATCACACCTGTTGACTGAAAGTTGTGCCTCTATAGGGTATTGCACAGTCGCCTCTGATAGAGACTCTTGTTCCCCGACCACTAGAGCTGGACTTGGGCTTCATGAACTCACCCAGAGCTGGTGGAGCGACTCCATTGAAGACTTTGTAGACTGAGCAGGCGAGTTTAATTTTTTGAAAATTTCCAAAACTTAAGATATTATACTTCTGTAGTATGAGACAATGATGAAACGATAAAGATTTCCTATCAAATATCTTTAACGCTTTTTAAAAAAGTGATTCTATTATTTTTAAGGTTGTCGTGCTTGTCAGTGACCAGTGAGTAATGCAGTATTCAATATGAGAGAAAATCCTGCTGTGGAGAAACATTTTAGCTGCATTAGTATACGAGGATATGAGTATCCCAGTTTCTCAGCGCGCATGTAAACACAGTAACCGGAATACTGACAACACCAGGATATGGACAATAACAGGGATACTGATGTACATGTGTACATGATGTACATGTGCACACATGATGTACATGTGCACACATGATGTACATGTACACATGTGTACACATGATGTACATGTGTACACATGATGTACATGTGTACACATGTACACATGTGTACACACTCATAGACAGACAGAGACAGAGAGACAGAGAGAGAAAGTGGGGAGAGAGAGACAGACAAAAAGCGGGGGAGAAAAATAGAAAGAGGGAGAGAGACAAACAGAGAGAGAGAGAGAGAGAGACAAAGAAAGAAGGAGGGAGAGAAAGAGGGAGAGAGAGACAGACTGAGAGAGAGGGAGAAAGCAAGAGAGGGCCTGAGAGTGATAGAGAGAGAAACAAACAGAGAAAGAGAGAGAGAGAGAGAGAAAAAGAGAGTGAAAGACAGAGAGAGAAAGAGGGAGAGAGAGAGAAAGACAGACAAAAAGTGAAGGAGAGAACTAGAAAGAGGGAGACAAACAGAGAGAGAGAGAGAGTGAGAGTGAGAAAAAAGGAGAGAGACAGATAGAGAGACAAAGAAAGAGGGAGAGAAAGAGAGGGGAGAGAGACAGACAGAGAGAGAGAAAGAGAGGAGAGAGATAGACAGAAAGAGAGAGAGAAAGAGAGAAGAGGGAGAGAGAGGCAGAAGGAAGAGAAGGAGGGGGAGAGGGAGAGAGGCAAACAGAGAGGGAGAGAGAGAAAGAAAGGAAGAGGGAGGGAGAGACAAAGAAAGAGGGGGAGAGAGAAAGAGGGAGTGAGACAGAGGAAGAGGGAGACAGACAGAGGGAAAGAAAGAGGTGGAAAGAGAGAGACAGAGGGAGGGAGGGAGAAAGCGAGAGTGAGAGAGAAACAAACAGACAGAGAAAGAGAGAGAGAGAGAGACAGAGTGGGAGACAGAGATAGAGACAGACAGACAGACAGACAGAGAGAGAGAGAGAGAGAGAGAGACAGTGAGTGAGAGAGAAAGACGGGGGAACAATGCTGCTGGGAGATTATCTGTAGACAGTCATTTGCAAGACATCAGGAGGTACCGGAGGAGGAAGAGGAGGATGAAGAGGGAAGAAAAAGAAGAGGAGGAGGAAGAGGAGGAGGGATGACTCATGGAGGAATACTTACTTCTTGACAGGGATCTTGCCTTCGGCGTTGAGCTGCAGCTTCAGTCTTGTGTATCTGGATCGGACACAACATAAGTCTGAGTCAGTCTCATGTAAACACGCTCGTCTGTGTAAACAATAATACGTCAACATTTATTCTGCTGTGTGCGTGCGGACCATCACACTCATTTACTCCCACACTCCGCGCGTTTATTTTATTCCGACGCTGCACACGATTGAAAACAGGTGCGATGTTGCCGTGTCTTTTTGGAAGCAGTGCGCGAGATAACAATAGAGAAGAGCTCATTCTCCAACTGGCTCCCAAAGCTCTGCTCAAACATATAATACTCCCTACAACTGTGCAACAACTCACCCTTATGGAAAAGATAATACTCCCTACAACTGTGCAACAACTCACCCTTATGGAAAAGATAATACTCCATACAACTGTACAATAACTCACCCTTATGTACTATAATGCTCCCTACAACTGTGCAACAACTCACCCTTATGTAACAGATAATACTCCCTACAACTGTACAACTCACCTTTATTTAACAAATAGTACTCCATACAACTGTACAACAACTCAACATTATGGAACAGATAATACTCCCTTCAACTGTGCAACAACTCACCCTTATGTAACATAATACTCCCTACATCTGTACATCTGTACAATAACTCACTCTTATGGAACAGATAATACTCCTTACAACTGTACAACTCATGCTTATATAACAAATAATACTTCCTATAACCGCACAACAACTCAGCCTTATGTAATATATTACTCCCTACAACTGTACAACAACTCACCCTTATGGAACAGATAATACTCCCTACAACTGTGCAACAACTCATGCTTATGTAATATAATACTCCCTACAACTCTACACCAACTCACCCTTATGTAATAGATGATTCTCTATACAATTGTAAACAACTCACCCTTATGTACAGATAATGCTCCCTATAACTGTGCAAGAACTCAACTTAATGCAATATAATACTCCCTACAACTTTACAACTCACCCTTAAGTAACAGATAATGCTCCCTACAACTGTACAACAACTCACCCTTATGTAACAAATAACACTCCTTACAACTGTACAACAACTCACCATTATGTAATATAATACTCCCTACAACTGTGCAACAGCTCGCCCTTATGTAACAGATAATACTCCCTACAACTGTACATATACATTTATAGAATTATGCCTTTTTTGACATCAGGCTCTTGATATTTTTTCTACCACACCACCATTTTGTCTTCATCACCACTACATATTTTTACTCTTTGTTATTATATTATATTGGGATGTGTGAGCTCCTGTGTCCAAATAATTTCCCTTGTGGATTTTGTCTAAGTTTGTCGAAGTCTAATAACGAGATGTGAGCGACTGCAGAAAAATATGTATTCAAATGTTTTATATTAGTTCTTATTGTCAGTGGAGTTAAATTATGAACAAAAGTACTCTCTTCTTTGCCTAGTGTACCGTGTCAGGTGTGTGTATGCTCATCTTACATAACAAACTACACAGAGACTACTGTTCTATGCAAAAGAAGTAGTTTGACTAAAATATACTATACTGTACTATATATACGCTTTCATAAGAAACATCAACACTACATTTGTACGATGATATGTAATGTGTTGTTGTGAATGTGTAATAAATGTGTATCAATGTATGTGTATGTGTATGTGTAATGTGTATATGTGTATGTGTATGTGTATGTGTATGTGTATGTGTATGTGTAATGTGTGTAATGTGTATGTGAATGTGAATGTGTGAATGTGTATGTGAAATGTAATGTGTATGAATGTGAATGTGTATGTGAATGTGAATGTGTATGTGTATGTGTATGTGTATGTGTGAATGTGAATGTGTATGTGAATGTGTATGTGAATGTGTGTGAATGTGTAATGTGTGTGAATGTGTATGTGTATGTGTATGTGAATGTGAATGTGTATGTGAATGTGTATGTGAATGTGTATGTGTATGTGTATGTGTGTGTAATGTGTATGTGTATGTGTATGTGTATGTGTATGTGTATGTGTATGTGTATGTGTATGTGTATGTGTATGTGTATGTGTATGTGTATGTGTATGTGTATGTGTATGTGTATGTGTAATGTGTATGTGTATGTGTATGTGTATGTGTATGTGTATGTGTATGTGAATGTGTATGTGAATGTGTGTGTATGTGTATGTGTATGTGTATGTGTATGTGTATGTGTAATGTGTATGTGTATGTGTATGTGTATGTGTATGTGTAAGTGTAAGTGTAAGTGTAAGTGTATGTGTATGTGTATGTGTATGTGTATGTGTATGTGTATGTGTATGTGTATGTGTATGTGTATGTGTATGTGTATGTGTATGTGTATGTGTATGTGTATGTGTATGTGTATGTGTATGTGTATGTGTATGTGTATGTAGTGTGTGTATGTGTATGTGTAGTGTATGTGTATGTGTATGTGTGTGTAAGTGTAGTGTATGTGTATGTGTATGTGTATGTGTATGTGTATGTGTAGTGTGTGTAATGTGTATGTGTATGTGTAATGTGTAATGTGTGTATGTGTATGTGTATGTGTAATGTGTGTATGTGTGTAATGTGTAATGTGTAGTGTATGTGTATGTGTATGTGTATGTGTATGTGTATGTGTATGTGTATGTGTAATGTGTAAGTGTATGTGTATGTGTAATGTGTATGTGTATGTGTATGTGTATGTGTTGTAATGTGTATGTGAGTGTATGTGTATGTGTATGTGTATGTGTATGTATGTGTATGTGTATGTGTGTATGTGTATGTGTATGTGTAATGTGTATGTGTAAGTGTAAGTGTATGTGTATGTGTAATGTGTGTGTAATGTGTATGTGTATGTGAATGTGTATGTGTATGTGTATGTGAATGTGTATGTGATGTGTATGTGTATGTGTATGTGTATGTGTATGTGAATGTGTATGTGTATGTGTATGTGTATGTGTATGTGTATGTGTGTATGTGTATGTGTGTATGTGTATGTGTATGTGTATGTGTATGTGTATGTGTATGTGTATGTGTATGTGTATGTGTATGTGTAATGTGTATGTGAATGTGAATGTGTATGTGTATGTGTATGTGTATGTGTATGTGTATGTATGTGTATGTGTATGTGTATGTGTGTGTGTGTGTATGTGTATGTGTATGTGTATGTGTATGTGTATGTATGTGTATGTGTATGTGTATGTGTATGTGTATGTGTATGTGTATGTGTATGTGTAAGTGTAAGTGTAAGTGTAAGTGTAAGTGTGTAAGTGTATGTGTATGTGTATGTGTATGTGAATGTGAATGTGTATGTGTATGTGTATGTGAATGTGTATGTGTATGTGTATGTGTATGTGTATGTGTATGTGTATGTGTGTATGTGTATGTGAATGTGTATGTGTATGTGTATGTGTAGTGTAAGTGTAATGTGTGTGTAAGTGTAAGTGTAAGTGTATGTGTATGTGTATGTGTATGTGTATGTGTATGTGTATGTGTAGTGTATGTGTAATGTGTAATGTGTGTAATGTGTATGTGTATGTGTATGTGTATGTGTATGTGTATGTGTATGTGTATGTGTATGTGTGTGTATGTGTATGTGTATGTGTATGTGTATGTGTATGTGTATGTGTATGTGTATGTGTATGTGTATGTGTATGTGTATGTGTATGTGTATGTGTATGTGTATGTGTATGTGTAAGTGTATGTGTATGTGTATGTGTATGTGTATGTGTATGTGTATGTGTATGTGTATGTGTATGTGTATGTGTATGTGTATGTGTATGTGTATGTGTATGTGTATACAATGTGATGGAATGAGAGTCGTGTTGTGTTCTGAGAAAAACCCCGAGAACTGTGTGAAGTAGGGATGTAACAATAACCGAAATATCATGATACCGTATCGGCAAAGTTCTCACAATAATATCGTGGACCATCACAATATATCGAATCACAATGTCTCTTTGCTTAAATGAAGAGTTATGGTGCAGCAATAGCTAAAAAAAGACAGAGGGAACTACAGAGACCATGATCCTTTGCTCCATTTCAGTGTAGACTACATGAAGAAATAACAGTTCTTGGATATTGTTACATCCCTAATCATGAGCCTTCCCACCATATCGTGAGTTTTCCCACGATATCGCAATAAATATCGTACCGTGAGGTTCATACTGTGACGATATCGTTTCGTGAGACTTTGATATCTTTACACCCCTAGTGTGAAGTGATAAAAAATGTTCCACATGATCTGACCACCTGACCACCACATCAAACTAAACCAAGATGTTACCTGCTCAAAAACATCCCGAGAGTTGTGATTTGGTTCATTCACAACTCCATTCATTCGAGTAACACTTTATTATTAGACTGTCTTCATCTCCAAAACTCAAAATGCTCCAGTGTTCCACCTTGTGATGTCATGAATCCAATCCAACTTTATTTGTATAGCACATTTTATAAAGAAGGCAATTTCCAAAGTGCTTCACCTAGCAATGTAAAAGCATTCTACTTTAAAAAAAAAATACATAAAAATAAAAATAATAAAAATTGAAATGACGAAACTAAGAGAATCAATAAATAAAATAATAATAATAATAATAAAATCATTGAACAAAAATAATAAAATCAATAAATAAAAGCAGTAGTAAAAAAAATTTATAGATAAAAACAATAAATAAATAAATAAAAGACACAGAGGAGCACACAACTCACGCGGTGTTAAAAGCCAGAAAATAAAAGTGGGTCTTAAGACGAGATTTAAAACACTCCACTGTGGGAGTTGTCGGGACGTGGGGAGGCAGAGCGTTTGGGCAGAGTTTGGGGCCGACCACAGAGAAGACCCCGTCCCCCTGGATTTAAGTCTTGTTTTTAAGCACCACGAGCTGGAGCTGACCCTCGGACCCCAGTGCGTCCAAACGTTCAAAAATAAATAATAAAATCTTCTCTGTTGAACTCCATGATGAGAAACAGGAAGCAGAGAGGCGATAAACTTTGTTCAGTTAACACGTAGAACTATAATCATTTTGATTTTTATTATTACAGATCCAG